GCAACACTGCGAACCCACAGGAGGTCGTGTGGGTCGGGTCATGAATTTTAAATGCTTTCCACGTTTTTCTAAATATGCATGGCTTTTCAAATGGACATCGTAAATAACGTGATATTAATGATTTAATAATTAATCTTGAACTGCCAGCATTAGAAAAGGAGAAGTAGAAATGATTTCTTTAACTGCATTTTTAAATTCAAAATAAGGATGGGAGTTTGTAGAATGAAAAAAAGCAAGAAATAACATCAAGGGAAATTTCTATTACTTAATATTTTTTTTTATTAACAGAAATATTTATTTTGTTCCCTCTCTATTTTGAATGTTAAAATGTTTTATGGCCACACTACAATACTACATTGGTGTCCAGTTTGCTCAAGATTTGTTTCTAAATCACTGAGACTTTTATCATCATTACAGCTGCAGCCACATTCTCGGGGCCCCTGTGCGAAGTTTCCAAATGGGGCTCCCTCATTCCTACAGCGATTTGTGAAACAGGCGTTTGAAAAAACAAATGTTTATAGGCACACATTATATTATAAATTAGATTTTACTGCACAAAAACAATTTTGCAAACGTAATATTTGGATTTACAAATTTGATGAACAACGTTATCAAACTATTAGATATTAATTGTTCAATGTAGGTTTTTTGACTAATATGTTAGTCCTCCAATTATCGTTGTAATATTAATTCAAGGAAGAGAAAATCAATGCATCCCCGCACGAGAAATGACACCTTCTGTTTTCAATTCTTTCTTGAAACTTATACTCGTACTAATTCTAAAACTAGTGGTGCTGCCAAAGTTCATACTTTCTCTCATTGTTTCTAATACTCCGCAACATTATACTTCTACGTACTACAGTAAAAATGTTTTCTAGCAGCAAATTATTTTCCGCACCCAAACTCAAACTGTGGTCCTTGGAGTTAACGTGCACTCACACTGCTACACCACAGAAGCGCCACAGGGTCCGGACTCGGGTAAGTGCATAAAAAGGTAAATGCGCGATTCATGTAAAAAACCTTCAACAATCAAAATATCCAATAGAAACTCCTAAAGTCTCCGGTCCGATAAGATCAATCAGGGAATGTCAATCTGAAAAAAAAAAAAAAAAAAAAACAGAAAAAAAACCAGCTGAATGGTTTAAGCGTTGACCACAGACGGACAGGCAGACAAACGGACAGACGAACATTTTGCCCTCCATAGATGTTTCGGTACCAAGAACCAACAAAATATGAATTCTAGCTACACCACGAGTTAGAGGATTTTTTAACAAATTTAATAACAGGATTTATCCACTTTTCCGTTATTACAGTCCAGCAATAAGCTTTTCTGGGGAAAATTCGCCGTTTTCTGGAGTACGATTACATAACTTTCTCTTCTTACGAAGAATTTGTAAGGCGAGAAAGTAAAAACACCAAAGCGCCTGAAAAGCACATTAATTTCTAGGTGGCTCAGAGCATGAACTGATGTCACTGCCTTGCTTATGACAGGACGGTCTGCAGTTCGAGTACCGGCGGTGGCAGAATGGTTTGACATTGGCTAGAGGATTTTTTTTCTAAATTTAGCAACCGGATTTATCCACTTTCTCGTTGCCAGAACCCGGAAATCAGGTTTTTATGTCGTAATTTCGGCGTTTTCTGACACACAATTACATGACTTGCTCTTCCTACAAGGAATTCGTAAGGCGAGAAAATAACAATAAGTTCGGAACCGTTAGGGATATCTAAGTTGGTCACATGGGTAATGTTCTAATGACCTAATGACCTTGCAGACTCAGAGCTAACACTTAACGGTAAACAGGTACTGAAATGCGATCTCGACCTCGGCCACTTCCTTACAATACCAGATGACGAGAGCAGAAGAAGTAGAAGAACGTACATCCGTTGTTTCCCCTTTTGGGAGAAGAAGCGCAAACTGTTATCTGCTATCACTTTCATTTTCAGAGTATCCTCACAAAACGGATGTAATGTCTAAGAGTCGTCATCCTCATGTTGCGTAATTTTAATTTTCTGGCGGTAGCATCCTGCTTATTCTGCGAAATGAAAAAGAAAAGAAAAAGAAGAAAAAAAGGAGAAGAAGAAGAAGGGGAAAAAACGCATCACTAAAACCGAACAAGTTCAAGAAGTTCAATTTGAATCGCGATATTTTGGCATAATGCAGGATGCAAGATGTTGTATACGGATGTATTTCTCAACAGAAGGAATACTGATTAGAAAGAAATGTGTTTTGCGATGTTAATACTGTTCGTAGAATGTTAATACTTTCGTGGGAAAATACCAAATTCGAGAAATGTGTGAAATACATTTCCATAGATCGCATTCAAATTACATGAAAAACGTACTTATTGAAAATCGCAGATCTATCTTTTTCGCGGTGACTACGATCGATATCAAAATCATGATTCGATCGATACTTCACAAAGTCCTCATATTTTATGCAAGTGCAATGAAATTTTGAAAAAGTTATACTCGTTTGAAATTCGCTAAAATTCTGTGCGATGGAGGGTGGCTCTTTCTTTCCAGTATTTTACGTGTTAATTCTTACCGGTTAAAATGTTGATTTTCGCGATGTCGCAAGACTTTCTAGCAGTACGCTGAGATAATTATGCCGAAAGAGACTCAGAACTTTTTTTAGCTTGTTTATGCTTTTTCTCTCGTTTCTTAAAAGCTTTTCGATATTATTTTCATTACTTAATTATTAGAAATGAAACAATTCCAATTAATAAAACACAATTTACCAGCAAGAAGTCGAGACTGGCACACTGTGATATAAACACAACTGATGCCAAGTCCAAGACAACGTAGAAATGGAAGTGATAGCGATAAAATCAACTGACTGATACATACTCTGATACTGATATATACTCTTTGGACTGATACGAAATCGGATGTTCGAAGATTAATATTTGACCGGGTTTCTCTTCCGGGAAGCACAATATTTGAAATATTCCAATAAAATTTGTCTATAACACTGAGTAAGCCTTTTTAGAAAATTTGTTTCAAATGACAATTGTATTGTTTTTTATTATTTGATATTCTGTAAATACATTGGAAGTTACTTTTATACATTTTTTAAACAAATAAACACGCTTCGTTAACAACCTTTCCCATTATGGAAATAAAAGAATAGGGAAGAATGTGGGATTTAACATACGAGAGTTCTCGCACGGCTACGCTAGTCGATGTCCGAATGAAATCTGTTGTTCAAAGACAGATGTGGAAATAAGATCATGTACAATTTTTCAAAGATGAGTAGTTTTCGAGTAATTTTTGGTGAAATATAAGGAATTTGTCAATCGTTATAGCTGTATTTTTTCTGTAACGTTTCTCCTCGTATATATCAAAGAACGGTTAACACATTGGTGCAAATCCCATTTTCAGCGAACTCTCTGTATTTTCAAAAATTGCAAAAAGTTTACAATTCGAAAGTACATGATTGAAGATAAATATTGTCTTAAATTATATCTGGCCTAAAAAAATAGATCTTGAAAAAACGTCTCGTACCCTGTTTCCTTTCTCTTCTTTACTTCGTAAGAAGATATAGTATTGTAATCGTGCGGCGGAAATCAGCATATTTTCGAAAGAAAAAAAAAACTCTAGTCAGGCTGTGGTAACGAAAAAGTGAATAACTCTTTTGTTCAAAACTTCCGAAAATTACTTCCTCTAATACGTTGTGTAGTCAGAATCCATGTTTTGTGAGTCATCCATACCGAAAAATCAATTGACAGCAAAACAGTTCGTCCTTCCGTCCGTATCTCTGAGGTTTCTAAGCCGATTTTCTCCAAAATTGATACTCATCGACGAACTTAAAGAAACGAGAGGCCCAGCGAGTTACAATTGGATATATTAATACTTGTGGGTATATTATAAGAAGCCTCAATTACATTTCCAAAATTTTCTCAAAAACTGTTGTAAGTTTTTTCTCAAAAACTGTTGTAAAAGGCGCTAAAAAAAGGCGGAGGTCTCGTTTTCGTTGACTTCCCTGATGTTTCGACAGTTACAAAAGTTCAAACTTCAAAAGTTCAACAATATTTTAGATAAATTTTTGCCTTAACAAAATCTGAAAGTAGCTCTTGAAATATCGTAATGTACAATTTTTCGAAACTATGGGAAGTTTTCGAGTAATTTTGTGTGAATATTATGCTACTTCAAAATAAATATTTTCTCAAAAATAGTTCCAATTTTTTATTTAAATTTTGGGTCTCTTGATGTATTCGTGGAAAAATTGAGATGATGAATTGAGAAAAATGAGAACCCAATCAAAAGGTAACTACTACTAATTTTGAAATTAATTGTTATCTATATAGATTTTTAAAATCGCAATTTTTAAAATTACAGAAATTACTACATTTTTAATAGTATTTAAAAGCAATTGGCGAATTTTGTAAACTACTATTAATTAAATTTATGCAATTATTTGCGATTAAAAAACGTAGAAATGACATTTGATGAACTGGGACGCAGCCAACCAATCGGGAGCTTCAATTAAAAAAGAAAATACTTATTTCCTCGTTAAAACAGGACAACGAAGCTCCCGATTGGAAAGTCGCATCCCAGCTGATAACACGTCTATCTTATATTCGTCGTCCTTATATTCAACGTCTTATATTTAAATGTCTGTTCTTGGAATCGGAGAATAGATCTGAGATGCAAAATAATGAAAACAATTAGATTTATTTTACCTATAGTAAAACCACAAAATTCACCACTGAACTCCGATAATAAATCTAAGTTTCAATCACAGAATTCAAAATGTCCCTTTACGCCGTTTTAAATGAAAACTATTTGAATTTTGAATAAAATTTTAAGATATCGTTTCCGTTACTAAGAAGAAAGTTCGGTAATTCTCTGAGAGTTATCTGCTGAACAGATTATACGAATTTCCCGGCGGTGGGGGTCTTTTCCATTAAAGAGCAGAGAAAGTACAGTAGATATCTTTGGTTCGACCCTGGTTACGAGCCTCTCGTGGACTCTGCAAGCGTGACTTTCTAGACATCTCACGTTCTCGTCTTGTCGGGTCGGATCGGATCGGATCGGTGCGGTGCGGCACGGCACGGCGCGGCGGGTTGGTGACGGTTTTGGCTTGTCGGCAGTGTGTGGTATTGATATCTGTTAAAATGGAAGATATAATTGCCCGTTTACTTGTTGCTGACAATGCCGTGATTCAACAGGTATTGTGTTGTATTTTCTGTATATTTATTGACAGCAAATTCAATGCGTCAGGCATTGTCATATTCAGTTGTGAGTAAACATAACCTAGTTTACGCACATGTGTAACATGCATCTCCTGCGTTGAGTAACATAGAATATTTATTTGTTAGTTAAAAGATAATGTGTTTCCCTTCGTTCGTATTTCCAATTTTATGAAGTTCGGTCAGGATAGCGGAAGCTGTACTTAGCTGTCAGTGACAGTATGTCATTTTCTGCAGGCAACGAAAGATTTAAAAGCGGCTATAAAAAACCCTTCCGCAATTGGAGACTTGTGTACTGTTATTGTGACATCCAAAAATTCACAGATTAGACAGTATGCCGCTGTCATAATGAGACAAAGATTAAGCAAGGCAAAAATTTGGAATCATCTCGACTCGCAATTGAAAGCAAGGTATGTAGAAAAAAAATTTTAAAAAACAATAAACAGTATAGATAATATTGTGTGAGATGTAGGGGCACTAATTTGCAATGTCTATCTTTATTTAGATTGACACAGGACATTTTAGGAACACTTCACTCGGAATTTGAGCAGTCAGTTGTGAAAGCAATAGTACAGCTCATTGGTACTGTGGCAAAGCATGAATTAAATAGTAGTAATGCTCTACTTTTGCTGGAGTTTGTTGGAAAATTGTGCTCAGTGGAAGTCAGTGATGATCATGCCCAGAAATTGGTAATGTGGAAATAACTGATGTGATGTATATCAAGTTTATGAATTTGAATTAATATTGTTTTCTATTTCAGCGTGGATTTTTTGTTTTATGTGTTTTGTCAGAAGAATGTCCAGATCTATTTGCAACGGTTTTACCAAATATTGGTGCTCTTGTTGCTAATACATTGCAGAATGAAATAGATGCAAAAAGCCCATTGGTGTGGCATGGTCTGAACACTATGAAAAATCTTGCAGCTCATTTCAGCGATGATCAAAGTGTAAGTCAATAGGTTTCTTATTTAGTAAATGATTTTTCTTACCAAATATATCGTTTCTTAAATTTTGCTTGTCTATGGTGTCAGGTGCTAGTGTAAAGAGAAAGTGACAAATTTGTGTGGTGAATTTTCAATTTGTCATATTGTTGTGAAATTCATCAATATACTTTTAAATACTTTATTTTTACATACTTTAAAATAACGTATTTATCTCTGTTCTTGATACATCTTAAGAATCCTCCCTTTTTTTGTTTGTTAAAGAGTTCCTCCTACTTCTTGCAAAATAATTATAATATTAAGTGTTCAAACTTAATTTTCTGGATTGAAGATTCATAGATACTCACACTTTACATGTGGGTATGAATGCCTTAGAAAATGATTGATTTCCTCAAAAGATTATGAAATTTAATTTTTCTAAGTTAAAAGATTCATTGTTCTAGAAATTTTATTTTGTTTCCAACTTCAATTTTAATGCAAAAAGTCATCAAACTGGTTTACATATTGTTCAATATCCCAAGCTAATTTTTTATGAAAATATCCACATGAACACAATTTTATTTCTGTACTAGTTTAGAGAGTCTGGTGTTTAATAGGATTAAGTTTTAAATCTATATATATACATACAATATATATTGTATTGTAGTTGGGGTAAGAATAGGAGTTAAGTTGAAACATTTGTTAAGATTTGAATTTTTATAAATAATCTCAACAAAGCTCGACATGGCATCACAAAACCCAGATTTCAAATCATCTTTGTGAATTGTTATTCATGATGTTGGATTTGCTTAGATATGGTTAGGGATTGACATCCCCATTAATGCTAATTGGTATACATAATATAATTTCCATAGCAGAAAGCACTAATTTTAAATATAATTTACTGTCTTTTTTGTCCAAAGACAAGATCAGCTACTTGCATAGCATCAACGGGAAAAGAAACCGTATGAGTTACAAGAAATCAGGGCGACTAATATATGTCTGTGAGAGAGGAGCGAAAAAATAAAACATGCATCACTCCTGATGACCTCAATCTGCTGCATTGTGCTTGTCTTTTACAGTTAAGATGATGACTTTGTTGGAAAGTCCAAACATTGGTCCAGAAACAGTGTTCTATTGAATACGATTGACTGTAAATGCTTTTTGTTTTCTCTTTCTTTCTTTACAAAAGTAAATAGTGAGGATTGTTCTTTTAGCAGGAATTACTAAATGGGCATTGTTCTTATGGCAGTATTTCCGAGACCAGAAATATTTTACCTTAAATGTAGGTTTACTTTAAAATTAGATTCCACTGAATAGAGGTTTCACAATATATCGACTATGTTATTATAGGCATAATGGATTTCATGATCGCATTTAGGAATACATACAACATTTGGAGACCTTGTGGAAATCAACAGTTTTGATTGGATATTTGTTAGGTATTTAATTTACAAAAATGCTAGTTTTTACAATCAGCAACATTAAAAAAAAGAGTTTTCAAGATTTAAGTGTTTTTTATTATTGTATAGTTGAGTCACAGAAATGAAGCTTGTGAACTGCAATTTCAATTGTTTTGGCCATCATCAAAGTGGTAACAATAGCTGAAACAAAAATAATGATGAACAAAAAACATGTTATGTTGTATGTACAGGAATTCATAGTCTGATCATTGTAATTCACCTTACTTTTCCTTCCAAAAGTTAATCTGTAATGTGCACCATGCTTTAATATCCCTTCTGAAAAAGGACATGCAATTCTGAGTTCACAAACACTTTATAACCTTTTTGAAATTAAAAATGTTTTTTTAAGTATACAAAAACACTGTTTAAAATCATCTGAATATAACTTTTAAAATAAAATTTAAACACACCTTTTATTTTTAATTTTATTAATATTAGCAATGTAAATTTTAAGAGGAAAAACATTTCTTGCAATTAGCCAAAAGTTTGAGTTATTATATGTGAGTTATCAGAGCCCACTTTTACCATGACCATAATTATTTCTCCACTTCATAGCGAGTTCTTTTTAATTCAGCTTATCTTCAAAAGACAGATCCAACGGAACTCATTGGAACATCATTGACGTGGATGAATTAAGAATCCCTGAACTTCCTGAGTACAGGGATTGTTACGTGGCCGATTGCTTCATCTCTTGAATGTATGCTGGAAACATGTATGTATGCCAGGAGTGAAAATGTGTAGTTTTCAAGTTGCTAATTTGTTTTTGTTTCTTTGTAACATTTGTTCGTCATTCAACTATTTGTAGTTAAAATGTTGGAAGAGATTCTAGAGCTCAAGAAATCGTGCACAGTTGGGATTTCTCCCCCTTACGTCATATACAGTTTGTACTGTTCTTTGACTAAATAAATCAAAATTTTAAATAAAGAACTGTGCCAAATTCGTAATGGCTGAGAGTGAGGCTAATTTTGGAAAGTATGATCAACATTATATTACACTTTGAAATAAATTTTGAAAAACATTTGTTCTGTTAGGTGACGTAGCCTACATAGATTTTGAAAATGTATTCGATAAAATAATGAAAGATAAATTTTAGGCTATGATGAGAAAAAATTTCTGAAGAATTTGTTTTTATGTTTTTCAATTTTCAAAGAGAGTAAGAATAAAACAAACAACAAAAAGGGAAGATATTGTAAAGAAGAAAATTAGCAGGAATGTAACTGCTCTGTACTTTCATTCTTACAATATATTGTCAATATCTTGAAGAGATGTAAACAGCTTAATAAAATGCAGAAGCACATTTAATAATGATTAACTGTCAAGTTATTTTATGTTGATGGGCCCAACATTTACAAAAATGAGTACTCTTCAAAGATCAGTTTTCCAGTTGTCTTATTTGTGTAAGCAGTAGAAATTTAAAATTAAGTCAGTAAAACAAAATAACAAGTTCCAAGGCGAGATAAATATTTCCTTCAATGGGTAGTCAAACAACTTCACCCTTCAACGTGTAGTCAATCTCCTGTAAGTAGGATGGGGTCATTGTCTAAGATAATGACATGGATATATAGAGCAAATAAGGGTCATTCCAATCATGAATGGAACAATGTATTGGAGATTTAGAAACAAATGTGGAAAAGAGGTGAAGCTCAAATTCAGCAAAACTGCTTATTTGTGTGAGCAGTGATGCGTCATTGCCAGGACTCAAGGAAGTCTTATCTAATCACCCTGAAATAAATTTTTAGAGTAAAAGTGAAAGGATGTAAAGGGAAGAATTAACAACATTGGTCACCATCATTAAACACTTAGAATAAATGACATTGAGGAACTATGAAAACTGGAAACACCACAGTAAGAGAGTGCCAAATAGTTTCTCCGAATCAGTTTTCTCTTGCAGACCTCCCATTGTGATCTAGGAAGTCGATAAGGAGGACAAGATCATGATGCTGAAAAAGGACAAAGATCTAATCTCTGTTAGCAAGAAGACAGATTGTCAAACATATATCGTAATGAGTTTCTGTTAATTCACAATTTTAACAAGTAGGGCCGAAGAGTATTAACCCTTTACTCTCTTAATTCTTCAGACTTTTTGTTCCCATCAGCTCTTTATTTAAATGACTGTCTGAATGCAATGAGGCACAACCCTGACAGGCTCACAATGCCTTTGTGATTAATAAGTTTTGTGGAACAAAATAGAGATTTTGGTTGGGATATGAAAACATGTTTGATTTAACCACATTTAACAAACTGAAAAGACATAACATTGAAAATGATAGACCTTTGTGTAGTTCACACTCAATGTTCTCTGTTGGATGGCGTACTCAACCAAAAATTCTGGAGTAGCCAGGAATCACACTAGAGCTCTCTGCTTCCCAGTGCTGCCCAGTGACATCTTTCATTTTACCTCTGCAACTTCACTGACTGGGAGGTCATAGAGATCAAGACAATGGCAGATTTTTCACACTAGCTGCATAGTTGGGTCGAATTCACCCCCTGTCTGAAAGAGATTTCTAGTGGCAGTCGGCTCCAATCAGTAGTTTTGTGGTTTCTGTGATCAATGGAACATTACCTTCACTAATGGGCCATGAGCTGTGCACAGTCATTCCTTCCTCATCATTGGCCCATCTTCTCCCCTTACACCTTTACAAGTCCACGCGCTGTACTACCATGCATGTAGAAGGGCATATGTAGGGAGCTTAGAGCTTGTCCCATCTGTGGCAGGTACCCACTGGGGAAAATACCTGAATGGTGAAAACCCCACAAGTCAATGTGTATGTTTGTGTCTAATTGCATGTTCCTGGAAATGGTATTCTTACTTGTGTGAGTTTTTAATTATTAGAATTTCTGCAGGATGATTGAATTATTTAAAATTTTTTTTTTTTTAATTTCATAACTCCCCCTTTTACTTTCATGTATACAAAATATAATCAGATATACAAAGTATAATCACTATAATACTATTATGTAATGGCTATTCCCTAATTGATCAGGCTGGACTTATGGCCTTGTGAATGAATTGGAATAATATTTGGATGTACTTTTTATAAAGTCCCTAGGATGTATTCAAAATGTTCTTGAAAATGGCTCGGAATTTTTCTTCATGTTTTCTGCCCAAATAGAACAAAGTTTTCATTAATACTTCTGGCGTTTTGCAATTTATAGAAGTTCACTTTTTTACCCTCTTCTACAACTACGTTATCGACTCTAGATTTTATGTTGATAAATTATATTTAAAAAAAATAAATCTTTAAATGATGTCATGTACAATTGTTTGAAAATGTAATTTTAATTTAATTCATGATAGTTTTCCACAAATACATAAACAAGATTTTTCCAAAAAGCTTAAAAATTTTTCTTTGAGTGTTTTGTGAGGATGGAGCACAATATTCTTAACTATTTGCCACAAGTGTAATTTTCAATAAAATGTTCGAAGTCTTAGAAATTCAATTTGTATTTAAATGTATTTGAGCATATGAATTGTTGAAGGATATGCTGAAATATCCCCTCCCCCCAATGGAAACATACAAATTGTTGAGTAATAGACTACCCAGAAACAATGAAATTTGCAACATAAAGCATGAGAAGTTAGCTCCTCAAGATGATTTTGATGAAATGGGGAAGGGCAGAACTAATGCATTATAGATTGATGTACCCATATTTTACATTAAATTTTAAAATTTATGTACCTCAGAGAACTATAACCTGGAAGTATATGCAAAAAATCATATTTTGAAATGGAATGTCATATTAAAACAGAAGAATTGAGGTAAATTTTTGTTACTTCTTGTTTATGTGATGAATGCCAATTGAGTTATTAAATGACGAAAATTCTGTTTCATTAATCAACAGTAATTTCTTTTAATTAACTTTCATATGGATATCAAATATTCCAAAGAATTCAACAACTTAAGCTGCTAATATAAATGTAGAATATTCTGTTGTCTATTTAGCATAAAAGGGAAAAGAATTGTTTAAATTAACTTTAAGAGACGCATAAGAAAAATCTATTTTTTTAAAGGATGGCAATTTGGAGATGCAATAATGTGTTTGTCCAGAGGAAGTATGTTTCTAATGTAGTTCTGTATCCAGCTTGTGAATCGTTATTTTTTATTGTGATTGACTGGTATGCACTTATGAAAATTTTGATTTGAAATTGTTTTTGAGGCAAATCAATTTTTTGTAGTGACAAACCATATAAAAGTATTATTCTCAAATTCTTAATTATTTGATCTACATTACGACACAAACATTTAAAATTATAAAAAGAAAATATTACCTAGCCTGTATTTAATCTGTATCAATTTACAATGTGTTATGATACCTGTTAATGGGAACCTTACCTACCCAATGTTTGAAAAATTATTAATTCTGTAAGATTTTTCTTTCTGTTACCATGAAGAAACTAATTCGGGGCCCATGAATTGTAACGTTTTGCAAATTTAGAATCCACTCTTAGTAATTTATTCTTTCAATGCTTTGTGCTTCACCCAGTCTTCTGCCTTCATGTTTCCAATTTATGTGTATTGGATAGCCTCCTTGTATCTTCTAATCTTTGGCAAGATCTGAAGAATGTTATGTGGGACACTTGCTTCTGGTATATGGAGCTCATGTTGGTACTATTTCTTGTGATATCAACAGAAAAGTGTGAACAAAAGATAGGTTTCTAAGAAAAAATGGTTGTGATTGTTCACAAAAGTGTTGATTTAATTTCCTAGGGAGAGATTTAAACTTCCATTACTGAAAATCTTTTGTATAGTACTTGGCTTTTATAGGAGAATAATTAATGTTTTTTTCATATTCAGCTTGTTTGTGCTAATGTTTTAATGTTGTGTAAATATTTCTACGTTTTTCTCTATAGAGTTCTAAACATGCTGGTATCTCATCCACTTTTCGTAAAGAAAATGGTAATAATTGCTGAGATTTGTTCCAAGCGATTTTCTAATTGTTGTTAAAAGCAATCAGATAATGAAAAGAAACAAAATTAAAGCATTCAAAAAGGGTGGTAAGGAAATTCGGAGAAAGGCTTAAGAAATATAGAAGTAATATTATTTTATATTGGCACATGTGTGTTATAAGAGTTTAATTTACATTGTTGGAATCCATGGAGGTATTAAACCATCCATGGAGGTATCCAAACAGGTATTAAATTTGTATTTGTTTGGATTATTTCTATTACCTGACTAGAAACATTACTTGTACATAAAATATCTTGTGCATGGTTTGTACAGCATTGGTTGTATTGCTTGTACAGCAACAGCAATTATTTGTTTAAAATTTTGCAGTCAATTTCCAAATTGTTAATAAGTAACGTTTCATCTGCCAAAAATGTTAAGAAGTGGATCAGAAATATGGGAGTTGTCCATTTCTTGGAGCAGATTTTAAAACTGGAAAGACATGAACCTTTCATTTGTTAAGAAACAGTTGTCTGAGACGAAGCCTAGGAGATGCCCTTTTGAGTTAGGAAAGAAGGTAGCACGATCTAGGAATGGAATTGGAAGATGTAGCCTCAATCTGTTGCCTTCTGTCACAGTAGGTTTCTGTGGGTTCTTAGAAAGCAGGTTGAAACTTTTGGGTGTATTGGTTTCTGTTGGGCCTGTTTCTGTCTGCACCAAGTACGAATACCTCTGGTGTTTTATTTAATGGAGGGTGTATTATGAACAGAAAAGTTTGAAAATAACTTGGAGGATAACATTGAAAATGTGTAAATCATTTTTATTTTATATTATTTCAAATACAATGAACAGGAAGACAATCTGTAGGAGTTTGTGATCATTTATTAAGTAACAATTTTGCTTTTCTCATGTATGATGTTAAATATTTTCTTTTTATTAGTCTCTTGTTGTATTCTTTTCTACTCCTTTATGGTTTGTGCATGATCAGCAGTGAAAGCTTTTTTTATAGGATAATTTTTGGCCTTTGCGTATTACAGACTGAAGCGTTCTAAAAGCTTTTTGTGGCTAGTCAAAACTTGTGTTATAAATGTACATATTAAATTTTTAAACATATATTTGATATGTGATAAGAACATGTACTCTTCAGAAAGTTGTGATAATTCACAATTAGGTAAATCAGCCTGATTATGAATATATCTGTTCATTCCTGGAAAATCTATAAAAGTAGATTACTGCAGGTTGAAAGATTATAGACATATCTGTTTGATTAAGCCAGAGTTTCATGTAAGTGGATTAATTTTCTGTGACCACATTTTGCCAAATATTTACTAATAATAAAATGTAATTACTAATAATATTACTAGATTGCACCATAGAGCATAATTCTTTTCTTAACCAAACAGGTGACACTGGAAATTACTGCCTTGTTTCCAACATTCAAGGTTATTATTTCAAGAAAATGATTCATTTTCCCCAACTTTCAAATGATAGTGTAAAAGTCCTGGGTCACAGGAAGAGGCTCCTGTATATTTTAGTAATATTACCACATTGTCAATGAAATTAGTGAGGCAATTCATATTAATCTATATAAAAGGAAATAAGAATTAAATTAAAGATATAGATGTTGACATTAGGGAATGAGTTCAGAAGAATGTCTGGAATCTTGGAATTTAAAGCAAAGTTAAATATGAGAAAATCAGAAATGTGCTGTGTTTAGAAATAATGTCACAATACTCGTATCTGAAGAAACAAATTTTTATGAAATTTAGATACGACAGAACAAAAGGAATATTGGCGAGTGTAATAAAGGAAAAAAGATGTATTGCCAATAGAAATGAAATGTAGGGTATCAATAAAAAGTAGATGCACCTGTACAAGTGAACTGTATAATATTATGAATGTTTGAGATGATGCATCAAAATAATGCAAAATGAGTGATGGATTTTAGTTCAGTATAGTATGTGAAAACCACTGTTGAAGTGCTGTTTGGAAATGCGGTTCTTAATCTTTGAAATAGAAATTGATAAAATATGAGATTGTTTGAATTTACTTGGAGACTTACTACTTGCTCATTATTAACTATTTACATGTTAAAATAATGTTGAAGTAGTGGATTAAAATAGGTCTTATACTGCTGGGTGATAGGAGGTTATTGTGCTCCTCATATCATGTTGTACCTGTGATCTAAAAATCAAATTTTTACTATAGTATTTTGTAAAAGGGAAGGAGTAGCCTATATATGACAGATTTGTTGGAGACAGATTTACTAGTTCATGAAAGGGGAAAAAAGGGAAGTAGCGAAGTAATTATCATCCTATAATTTACTTTGTAATATGATGGTGAACCCAACATCTATATGCACTGCATCTAATATGTGTAAATTTTTATGTTCCAGATAAAAAGTTGTTATTCTGTGATGTTACCCCAAATGCTAAAAGCAGTTAAAGCTTTGGCAAATTCTGAAGAAGATATGGCCTCTGATTTGTTGGAAATGTTGGATGATCTTATTGAGAATTCAGTAATTACAACAATGCATCAGATAACACCTATTTTGAATATGTGTATGGAACTAGCTGGTTCAGAAATTAAAGAAGAGCAAATTCAAATAAAAGCATTATCTATTGTTGATACAATAGTGAAAATGAAAAAGAAGGTATGTATCGAGATTTAAAACTGACCAAATTGATCATGTCTAGGGAATGGTGTATAATTGTTGTAAACTCATTTATAGGAGAGACTGAGTCTAAATGATCAGCTATTTCAAATCCTAATTTTTGCAACATAAATAAAGTTCTTTTTTTCCAAAGATTATTGTAATTTTTTTATGATTCATTGGCTATAAAATGTTAGTTGGTTGTATAAAAACTATGTCTTATTTAACTGAAATAGACAGCAGTTCCGAAAAGTGTAGCTTCTTGGAATAAAGTGGGTATGATCATGAATTCATAATGCAGACGAAATTATTGTGCAAGCTGATAAAACAAATTGCCCATTTACCATTTGCAAAGTTAATTCTTAATTCAAATGTAGATAAAAGTATGATGTAATTTATGTACAGATAATTTAAATTTTAACATGATAAATGTAGATGAGCTTTGGCTGCTGCCATTAAACAATAAATAAATAAAGATATGTATTTTTTCAAATTTTTTGATGATCCATTTAGTAAGGAATTTGGCTAGCGATTGCTTGAAGTGTTTGAAGTTGCAAAATTTATATTAGACTTGGGCTAACCTGTTAAAAATAATGGGATGAAGTCTGACTCTCATATTCATAATTCATTATCAATTCTGATTATTTGTGTGGCATATTTTCCACCCTGTTCAGCCTCCTTGTATGATGCCTGTGCTGACCACATGCTTAATATAGCTGAAGTTCACCCATATGATTTTTGGCTGGGTATGGGAGATTTTAACCTGCATAGAATTGATTGGTCTGGTTTCAACAGACGACCACACTGGAACAATAAATACTTTGTTTACTAAAGTTGTAACTACAGCCTCATTAGAAATGTTAGCTTTGCTTGATCTTTTACAGCACAATTGTATCATTATGAAGAAATTACCTTACTTTTTTGTAATTTTGATCCAATGTATGTTACCGTGAAATGGTGCTCGGTGCAAGATGTTACACTTCAGAGAAGGGAACTCCAATGTGCAATGTGCAATTGGAAATCACATTGTTGAACTAATTGAGACTGAAAGACCTGAAATGATACAAATAAAATAAAAAAATGAAGCTGTGTCTATACAGGAGAAACCAATATTAATAATGAAAGAAAAATCACCATAATATAAAATCATAATCAGTGGACACCAGATCATAATACCACTTATCATAATTAAAATTCACCAGGAATATTATATTCTAGACAAAAAGAAGGGGGATAAATGTCAGCTAGCTTGGCATGCCTACTATATGAATATCCGATTTAGAAACAATCAAATCAAGCATAATATTTTTGTGTATAATAAAATTTCGTTGAAATAAGATCATTAAAAAGTATCAATGAACATCTTAGTGCAATTGCTTTCACGTATCGTAGAATTTTCATTGGATTGTGGAAAACTTTTTATGTCACATTGAGTCAGCCTTTTTTTTCTGCCAAGTCACACGTAGAAAGTTGTAATTCCTTAAAAGTAACCATTAACAATTGGGTTTTCAAGATCTAGTGATTCTTGAGCTTTGCAGTAAGGCCTTCTTAATGAAGTCTTTATATAACTAGTGTTCTAATAAATTCATTAGAGCACTAAGGCTATATTTTAGCTTCTTATTGCATTCATATGAGTGTGCTAATCAAACATTACAGCATTGTTGTGGATAAATTTTATTTAAAAGATTGAAAGAAGGGTAGCATTGTGTTCTTTTAAATAATTGTTACAGTATTTCTTGTTAGCAAGTTTTTTTATTTGAGTTGATTTCTCCCCTGTCAATGCCTTCTTGATGAGATCTTGCCATTAGATGATGCTTATTAATGAGAAATGCACTAAAACTTCATTTATACGTTTTGCAAGGGGTTGAAAGAAACAAATGTGCAAGTGAGAAAAACTCGTAACTGAAAATGAAAATAAAAATGCAGGTGCAAATTAAAAACACATTATTTTCATAATACTATCGAATTATAGAAATATATGATCATCATAATCATGAACTGACCAGAAATTAGGCTTTACACACTGTTTCCATTGGGTTATTACAGTGTTCTTGGTAGATTAATAGTCTTCCAAGTGTTCCTGTGGTTGACATCTCTTTAGTGGTCTGCCTCTATCTCTGATCCCTATTGGTTTGTACTTCAACATTAATTTTGAAAATCTGTTGTTGTTCATTTTCTGTAAATGATATTTCCTTCTCCTTGGAGACTTCTATCTTTTCTACTAAACATTGGTTTTCAATTTCTTTCTGGTGTCTTTATTACTCAGTCTGTGTTTCCTTGTGATTCCCATGAGGTGTCTTAGAAATCTCATGTGCTGCCTATAGTTTTTGTTTCTCTCTTTCTTTCATTACCCATGTCTCAGAGCCATACATGATTCTAGGTTTAGCAGATATATTGTGGAGTTTGTTTTGTTTCCTGGTCCAGGTCTCTGCCAAAGTGTCTCTTAATTGTTCCACATATTCTGTTGTATTTATGTTTTTTTTTTCTATCTCTTCCTGAGTTTGGTTGTATACACTTATATTTCCAAAGTATGAAAATGTATTTACTTGCTCCACTAATTTTCCATTTATTACTATTTTGGTTCTCCTTTATTCCTTTCCTTGTATTGCCATAACATTTGTTTTCTGAATTGCTATCTTCATGGAATATTCTTGTGTCACTTTAGTCAATTCAAAAACTGCTCTTTGTAAATTATCTTCAGAATCCATGACAATAGTTTGGTCATCAACTTACGAGGTATCTTGTTGTGTTTTGTGATCTGTATTCCTTGTCTAACTTTCCTTCTCCAGTTTCTCATTAACTGTGTGCTATATGTTGAAGGGGATGGATGATAATCCATATCCTTGCCTTATACCACTGTTGGTTGTTATTACTGCTGACTTTTTTCTGCTCTCTTAACATTATTTTAATTTTTGGCTTTTTGTAGAGATAATGCTTGTAATATTCCTAATACATAACATTTTCAAGAAAGAATGTTCTCGCTTTTGAAGAGTCTGATCTTCATCTGTTTGTTTTTCTGAGCTCTAAAGCATTATTTCACCCTCAAAATTTGACGATTCCATAATAGACAATATGACAATTTCTGCACGTCATACACTGAGGCCAAATATATATTGTGCAATGTTGGTAAATATTACGCAAGGTCATAAGGACACTTGTCACTATGCTCGAATTCTGGAGTTTCGTCAAGTCTCAACAGTTCCAATCAGATTTCAGTGCAAGGCTGGTAGGCGCACCAGCAAAACTAAAGAACCTGTATAACGAACCAAACACAGATACCATGGACTCCTCTAGGATGACACAATGGTTCTCACTTACCAGTCAATGTTATAAAACAGACAGGACTTTTATTATAGATGTATAAGTATGAAAAATGGACAAATATAGAAATGGATTTTAACTGTCATTATGATAAAATTTACATTGTGTGTTATATTTTTACAGGCCATTATTAAACACAATTTACTTTTGCCTATTCTTCAAACATTAGTGCAAGTGCTGCAAATGCCGTGTGATGAAGATCTGGATTATGAAAGTGGTAATGAAATGAATTCTCCAGTTATTTATGGATCACAAGTTCTTGATGGGTTGGCTCTAAATTTACCACCTGGAAAATTAATGCCACACTTGGTGAGTATTATTTGTGAAATTTATTCTATTATTTCAGGTAGATAGTGAGTAGCCTTCAATGGACCGAATATTAATATATTGTTTTTTGAACCCCTTGTAGCTGGAATCAATCCAAATGCTTGCAGTAGCAGAAAATCCAAACAAAAAGAAAGCTTCATATGTTATAATGGCAGTCACTGCTGAAGGCTGTGCTGAGTATATTTGCAACAAATGCTTCAAGTTATATTTGGAGCTAGTGTGTAAGGGTCTGGAAGAACCAGTAGTGTTTGTTAGAAATGCAGCGTTATATGCATTGGGACAGTTTGCTGAGCACTTGCAGGTAAACTATTTTATTTATTTTGTTTTTAACAAGTCTTTAAAACAAATGAAGTTGTGGATTTTTTTTATTTGACGATTCCTAACAATCTAAGTCAGCTAATTCATGTATCACTTGCCTTTTAATTAATCCATGCTGCAGCGCTGTATTCAGGGAGTGCTAACTGTTACTCTTAAGGCAAGGGTCTCCAAACTTTCTTCTTCTGGGAGCCGGATAGGAAGTTTTGAAAAGCCTCGAGGGCAAAAAATTAACTTCCGGGTTAGGATGAAATTTATCATCTAAATGTCAAATTACATTTTAGTTAACCATTCACAAATTAATTCTTGAAATGCATATGGACATTTAAGCACATAAGAGAGGTGTGAAATAAGTCCATTTTCAGTATTGTAACATACAGGTAGGTTAGTGAGCAAACAATTTTCTTTCAAGAATTTCAAGAATTTGTTTCGAGAAATAATAATTTCTGTGTAAACACCTTCATATGAGGGTTTCGGTCACATATGTGGTGGTTTTCTTCTTGCATTTTTTAAAATTAATTTCATTTAACATGCTCAGTTTTGTCAATATAATCATATTGAAGTCAAAATCGGGTAGGAGAATAAAAAGTATGTTTACCAACGGTAAAGGCTTGTGGACATTTGAATTTTCTTTATGTAAGATTTACAATCGTATGACGCATAAGATACCAGATTCTTAAATCTTGCAATTAAAATTGTACAGCCTGTGACACAAAATTTAATCAGAATATACTTTGGGTTGGTGGACCACATAGAACACTGCCAAGGGCTGGATGTGGCCTGTGTGCTGTAGTTTGGAGACCCCTGCAAGGAAGTGCATGCTTGGTCAACTAAGTAGCTCGTTGTGCAGTGGTGAGCAGCTTGCTTTCGGTGAGCCCAGAAATAGGGGCAGCAAGCTGCATTGGTGTTTGGAAGGGGATGGACTCTTCCCTTTCTGCCCGGAGTACCCCTCCGTAGTAGGACCGTTGAGGTGGGTTGGTCCACATCCTGACGGGGGGATGCAGAGAAGGCTCTCATGTATTTCTTTGTTCCAATTTCTCATCGTCGTGCTTTTCATTTCATGTCGCCTTTATTATTTTTAACCTTTTTTTCTTCTTCACTGGCTTTCTGTATGCTGAACACTCTGAATGTGTTTGCTGTGCATGGCGACCTGTGTCGAAGGGAATGGGTAACCTGGGAGTTGAGGGGTCTGTGTGTGTGTTCCAGACTGTCGCCTTGACGTTGGTTTCTTGTGAGTACACGTGTTCTTGCCATGTTCGCTGTGCGTTGTTGTAGGTTGCAATATGCTTTTTTTTACCTCGGTCTCTTGTAGATGGGCGGTCTGAAGCTAACCCGCTCCCGATCAATCGGCTCAGACTAGGTCTTTGAACTCCAGGGAGAGCAACGGCAGGGCAGTGGTCATCCCCCCCATTATATCTGTGTCAACCCTGACATCCCAGTGGGGTGTCCCCTTCTTGGACTCCATGGTGGGTGGGGAGATGAAACTGTTTCAATTCTATGGAGTATAATACCAACGCCTTGCTTTCTTCCAGAAGGAAGAGGCAGTTTTGAAAGAACGGTCGATTTGAGTACTTACTTCCTCAGAGAACAAGATAGACAGTAGGAGCTGTGTTTCCTTCTGATTACATTTAAGGAAAGAAAACGTTTAGAAGTGTAAGTGCAGTCTATCTTGCACGAGTTATAGAGTACTCATTGAGCTCCAAGCGGTCATGTGACAAAGAAATGGTAACATTTGCACACCAATGAGCAAATAGAGAAGATCATGAAAACAAAGCAGATTGCCAACCTCCAAGTGGAAGTGGCCACCCTACCCTTAACCTTTGTGAGGGAGTGGTCAACCACGAGGATTTTGCGTCCAAAACCGGAGAGAAACTTCTCTTTCTTGAGGGCTTAGGAAGGAGCATGGGAGAGAAAGAGAGAGATATCCCTACTCCCACTCTGATCATGATGTTTAATCTTTCATCTCTCTCAGAGAGGATTAGTTGTGGATTTTATAATCTTAGCGTGCGGCAGTATGTGCCTAACCCTCTGCACTGCGTCAAGTGTCAGAGGTTTGGCCATTCGTGACAATGGTGCATGGCCGATAACCCTGTTAAGGCAAAGTGCAGCAAATCCACACATGATCCAGATTTCTGTGCGGCTCCACTTTGCTGTGTGAATTGTGAAAGTGACCATGTGGCCAATTCTAATAGGTGCTCTACCTTTCTGAGAGAAGGAGATTCAAAAGAGACGGGTGACGGAGAAAGTGGCCTTTCCTGAAGTGAAACGTCAATACCGGGTGAAGAATCCTGTAAATCCAACTCTGTTCTTCTCCAGAGTCATGCACAATATGATTAATTCTAAAGCAAGTTGCCAAACAATACCTGCTGCTCCACCAGTAGCACATATCTCTTGCTAGATGTGTACTGTGGACTTTCATTACCCTGAAAGGTGGTGAAACAGTAATTCTCACCAAATACAAAAAACAGCAAGGAAGTCACTCTATCAGCTGCTCCTATCCAACAATTCAGTTGTACTCAACCCTACATAAAGGTCGATGTCTGCCAGCCTTCCATCCCAGACTCGCTGCTAAATAACCACTGTTCCAACCTCTGATCACCTGCTCTGACTCCTGAGACTCGCTCTGAGCGATCACTCAGCTTGTCAAGCAATGGTCAGAAGGACTCTGCCTCGGAGGAACTGTCAGCCCCTTTGGGCAGGTCACTTGCCCCTTTGGCCAGCAGTGAGGGGAAAAAGAGAAAGACCTAACACACAGTATGATTCTTCTCTCTTACAATTTAAATATTTTCTCCTCCCGTCGTGACAAACTCATACGACTGCTTGTCCCGTTACAGGTTGTTGATAATTTGTTTACAGGGGACTCGTCTCATCCCACCAAGCCACCTTTCTTTTTGCGGCTTTACCCCACACAGTGGTGATGTTGATAAAAGCCTCCATGCACACGGTGGATTTGCTAGTTTGATCCCTGATTCTCTGCTCTCTATTGATGTTCCAATTCAGACTGAGCTTCAAACTGTGCACGTGCGTGTGCGTGGGCGTGTGTGCAGGTGTATCTTCCATCCCTCACACTTACCTCTCACCTCTAACATGTACAGCCATCAAGGACAGGGTGTATCCGCGAACAAACTCTTGGCTTTAATAAACCAACTACCTCACCGTTCTTAAGAGTCGGTGATGTAAATGCCCACAGTTGTCTTCGGTACTCATCCTGCTCTTGTCAGAGACACAGCATTACTGGAATCGGTTATAAACACCTCGAACTTGGCTATTCTAAATTCAGGTGAATCAACTCGTTTCGCCATAGCCTCAAACTTTAGCAAATGTATTGAAGGGTGTGGTGGCCCATCGCTTGCAACCATTCTACAATGGTCTATTTTAGATGACCTGTTTGGAAGTGAACATTACTCCACTATCGTCAACATTGATGGACTTATTCATGGGTTGGCTCAACTCCTTCAAAGATGTGTAGAATGTGCTGACTGGCCGAAATTTCAAGGGAGGGTCTGTCTGTGAGGGCGACTTTGACTGTGTGGACGAAACAGCAGCACATTTTAACAGTGCTGTACTACTAGCTGTAGATATTGCAGTCCCCGAGGTGACTGGTAAACTGTGACACACTTTCGTCCCGTAGTGGAACTTGGACCACTCAAAGGCGGTCAGTGCCCGTAAAAATGCGTTGGTGCGTCTGAAACACTATCCAACTTTCTTTGGATCAAAGAAAGAAAGGAAAATTCTGCTGTGGATTTTTGGAACAGCAGTTAAAGATTATAACACCCCATTTTCCATGTGCAAAATGTGCTCTGCAATGGCGCTTGTGAAAAGAACTGCCCCAGGTCCAGATAAAATCCATTACATAATGCTACATCTTCCTGAAATGGCCATGCTATTTCTCCTCCAGCTCTACAACCGTATCTGGGAAGAGAACACCATCCCTACTCTATGGCAAGAAGTCTTTGTCATCCCATTTTTCAAAGAAAGGAAAGATAGATCATTGCCATCAAGCTATCAGCCCATTTCTCACACAAGTTGTGTTTGTAAAATACTGGAATGCATGGTGATTCAGCATTTGGTTTGAACCCTGGAGTGTTAAAATTTGTTGATACCACTCTACCAACTTTGATGTCATCAAAATACATTTGTCTTGATAGACCTCTGGTTCCTGTTGCAAAAATTGTATACTTCCAAAAAGATTTCATGTCATTGTTTGAGTTTTCAGTCTTATCACTATATTGTTGGTAATGGTACTAGCTTGAATTTAATTATTAGAAGCATTTACAAAATAGCTGTAAAACCAGTATCATTTGTCCAAAAAGTTTTTGATAAGTTGAAATCTCTAGGGAACAAAAATATTGCTGTAGGATATAAGATAGTATGTGTTGAAGGCCATGAGAATATTATATACAAGCTTCCACTGTTGACATTGGAGGAAAAGATACTGTACCAGCAATAATAAGTTGATTTTTTTGTTTTTGTTAATATGAATAGTTGTTCAGCTAAAGAATTGAAAGTAAAAATTGGTGTACTAGTATGATTATGATGAACTGCTACTGCCTCACCTCTGCTCTGCTCTCCTCTCTAAGTTGCCCATAAGTGAACTACGATCCAGCCGAAAGATGTAGTTTTGTTGATTAAATAGTAGCATTGGATATATCTTTATTAAGCCCGGTCTCAGTGAAACCAAGAATAGTGTGCCATCATATGCACGATGTAAGATGTTGAAACATACCACTTTGGTTCCGAGTCCACAAAAATTTTGGTTATATTCAGAGATTTTTGTGATAATTGTCCATGTTTTAATTTTCCTGATTTGGTGGATGGTGGGTTATTTTTCTGTGGGGATAATTAATAGAAAATGGTGGATATTCTGTTCATATATTTTATCTTCTGATTTGAATTTCCTGTTGTTCTCTATCTTTAATTTAGTCAAAATATTTTTGAGATATTACCTTATAGAGTTTAGAAACAGAACTTTTATGGGTGTATATTTTGATTTGGAATTCAGTTCCTGTTTTTATGGGTTTCCCAATCTTTGAATTTCTACATCATCAATAATAGTGTCTATAATAGATGATTAATGTTTTTGTGACTGCTTGTTTGTCAGTGACCAATTGGAAGTTTCCATTGTTGACAATTAGAAGTTTCCAAATTGTTGTACAAGATGACGTTCCTTGGTCAACACTTGCAATCAAAGATCTTGGCATACGAATCAACCTCAGAATTCCCTGGTTTATGTATGTTCTTGACTCTCTCTCGTAATTTAGCTCATCTGATGTCATGATTGCCATGTCATTTGGAGAGGTCAGCAAATTTATTATCAACATAATTATTTCACTCTTCAGCTCACCTGTTACATCTTATATCTCGTTTTTCAAATCATTGATATGCGTTGTTTTAACTGCAGATATATTAAGGAACAATTTGAAAATCCTCCATTTCATATAGTTTTTAAATAAAGCTGATTAGTTGTAGTTTTATTGTGAGTAAATCCAATTTCCAAATAAGCACTGCAGCAGTTCGAACCCAGTTGCTAATCGCTTGGTATCAGAGTATGCCTAGTTGACTTATTAATTACTTCCAAAAAGATTTAGGGTTGATAGAAGCAGATAGTTCCATTTTACACACATAAGAATGGTAAAGGATAGGCTGAAAAGTGAGATTCTGTAGATCGCAAGGCAAAAGATATAATGTAATAGTCAAATCTATTACTTTGTTTATACAATCTGAATCTTTTTTCTCTGATAAAGCCAATAGCCTCCAAAAATTACCAACACGGATAAGAACTGATAAAAGCGGGTATCTTGGGAACGACGTGATCGATTTAGTTTATAAACAGTCATAAAAATATATATTACAGTCAATGTTGTGTTTGTCAAATTAAAAATTGTGCTTGATGCTTTTAAGATAATAAATTGTAGAATTGTAATCACAATGTTTAAAGGCGTTCATATTTATTTGCTAATTTTACTTGTCATATTCGGTCCTTGTCCACGTATTTTTTAATGACTTTTTGTTTAATTGTTTGACTACTTGCATATTGTTGCGATCACGTCTTCTGGTTTCGTTTGTTGGAGCACTGACTAACTCAGGTTCATATGGGATACCTTGTTTTGATGAAATGGAAGGGGGAGCGTTGTTAGAATGGAAAACACTTACTTTGTGAAATTATTAAACATAATTTTAATGTAATTACTGGAAGTGTTACAGTAAATGAGAATTCTTTTGTGAGCTCACTACCTCAGTTAGAATTTTAAATTAGAATTAAAAAATTACAATTAAAATTACAAATTAAATTACAAAAATTACACATTAAGTTACAAAAATTACTCATTAAGTTACAAAAATTACTCATTAAGTTACAAAAATTACACATTAAGTTACAAAAATTACAATAATTACACTTACAAAAATTACAATAATTACACTTACAAAAATTACAATAATTACACTTACAAAAATTATAATAATTACACTTAAAAAATTACAATAATTACAATTTCAATTACAAAAATTGCAGACGAAAGCGCAGCCACGCCAATTTACACATCAACCTTTCAAATTTTATGTTAATTGAGAAGTAATCAAGAGTCCTTTGTTTTAATAACTGCTTGAAGAGCTTACTTGATAAACATTTGCTCAGTTTATGATAAAATTTCACTGTAATCTTGCTCGGCTGTGTTCTCCATTGGTGCGACTACTGAAGGTCGACGACCCGTCATCTGTTTCCAATTCGGAGGGGGGGAATGTTGGCATCAGCTTCTAGACAAAGTTAGGCTGTGGATAACAGGCCCTGGGGTCCCAGCAGCGGCGGTCGCTTCCCACAGACAGCGGTGCGTGGTAGTCTCTGGATCAACACATACCTGTCATGTCAAATTTGTAAGTGCACTCATCATCAATCTGTCTTTAATGGAACTTGGCAGGTTTTGACTATTTGCAGAACCTTATTCTGGTAACAATGTCAGAAACATTGCTAGGATGCAAAACAATGCACATGGCAAAGTTCAAATATGCAGATGCTCGAACACGACATCTGCGCATGGCAATCTGATTTTAAGTATAAGAACAAATTTGCTCAGATGTGACTAGCATCCAGTGAATTGACCTCCAGAATGGTCTGTCCTGGCGAAGTGGCCTTGAGGACGTGTGGCCATTGATAATGTCCAACAAAACTATAGGCTCGGACGCATGATCATGTCCAGCTGTTTGACCTTCAGTAGTCTGATCTAGATGGCGGTCCCAGTTTGTGTCGTTTTTCCCGTCTTCTCTTCCCTCCAAGCTCCTCAAATCCCTTATTCTCCTAGCTCTGGAAATTTGATGTTGTGATTGCCTGAAATCTATTGCGCATCAAGATCTTCTCAGTCAATCCCTGTAAGATTCTTGAATGTTCCACATTGGAAAATTCCTGTAGCTCTCTCCCTCTTCATGTTGATATAAGGAGCAGACTCGCAGCTGCATGATGAGTACAACACGGCGGTCATATTTATTTCTTTGCAGCAATATTCTTTGACTTTCGCAGCCGGGAAGTTCCCATGGTGTTGCTTGTTATTTATGTGCAATTCTTATAATGCTCTGATTCTGCCTATTATATTATATTTCATTATTGTGATTACTACTATTATTCCATTTATGGCGTGGTTACACTTTTTCTCTTCCTAAGTTCTCTCTTTAAGTTCTCTTCCTTTTTTATTTGTGTTATCTTCAATAATTTCAGGTTCTAGACCTAATTTATTGTTTCTGACCTGTGAATTTATTATACATCTCCTTGGTTGCTTTGGGTGATTCCTTAATTTTCAACTTTCAACTTCATAAGTTCAGTTCCTCTTTTGTAACTTTTGATCATATATCTATCATATATGAACATTTCACGAAAAATTACTATTGATATTTCCCACATTTGGTGATGTTATTCTGTCAATGCAGCGTATGTGATGCACAATGTCATCTTGCATTCATAGTTTTTTTTATCACTCTCACGTGTTCTCTTTGTTGACTTCAAGGTGCACATATCATCCTTATTTCATAATTTTTGTATTTTTAAATGTTCTGCTTCTCTAGTTCTCCTCCTGCAATGTTTTTAGCCTTACGCTTTCAATAACAATTGCTACAGGTTCTGAAATCACTTTTGTCCACAGCAGTACAATTTCTCTTAACTTGCTTCAAATGTCTTGAGACTGCTTCCTTGTGTGCATGTTACTAGTCATCCATCTTCGCAGGAAGTCCTCCAATAGTTTGTATAATATTAAAATATATTAAAAATGGATTTTAAGAAATGGAGATGTAAGATATTTTGAAAATAAAGGTATTTTGATTTGGTAATTTATATTAATGGAATAGCTTTATAACTTTCATGGAAAGTTTATCAAATCAATAACGTGTTGTGTTTTTTTCTAGCCTGAAATAGGAAAACACTCAGAACAGCTTATGCCAGTTTTATTCAAGTTCTTAGAACACATTACAGTTAATTTGGAAAATCTGGAAGGCAAGATACACTTGGATAGAGTCTTTTATGCTCTTGAAACCTTTATAGAACATTCTGAAAAGGAAACATTTCTACCATACTTGGCTCCACTGATAGCAAATTTGCTTGCTTTGGTAACAGCTAAGGAGAGTTCAACCCATTTGAAGCAGCTTGCTTTAAGTGCTATTGGAGCATGTGGTAAGTTGAAATTTACTATTTGTTATGTAATGTAGTTACATAAACGTATGAATTATATAAAAGTTATGTTTTAAAATCCCAATGCTTCAAGCCATTTTTAGGAATCGTTAATGAAACGAGGAGTAAGGTCTTATATTTATTTTCCTTGATTCAGTAAATCGTGCTTATTTCTCCCTCTCTCTCCCCCCTCCCACAGACAAAATCTGTAAAAACAATTGAATTGTTTTTATATCATCAAAATATTCATATGAGAGTAAGGGCAGTTATTTTGACAAAAACACATGCGCACGTGCATGCTCACGCTCACATGCGCTTGCTAAATTTAAGAAAAAAATTGGGAGATTGCTAGGTTTGAAACTAGCCCCTCCTGTCTGAAACTTATCTTAAGTGTTCTTATTGAAACCTAATTTTAATTTTGGAATTCTTTTGTTATTGTTAGGGAATGATGTTAAATGTTAGAAATATGGGGTTACAAAAGCTTTCTTTGGTAATTTTATTACTTCGTTAAAAATGGCTACAGTTTTCCCTTCGCCCAACTTACACACAACAAAACTCGCTATTTGACTATTGTAAACTGTATAAGTTCCTGTATAAGGTTACTGGTAGTGTAAATTAAATCTAAAGTGCAAATTGCTGTGGAATGAAGTATGTTCTCTTTAATATTTTTAATTACCATAATGACAAAATATAATTTAAACAATGTATATAGGATTATTTGACCTCCTCTCAACTAATATCAAAACACAATTTTCTCATCACTTATTCTCATTGTTGAGTAACTTGCTCTCTGTTTTTGCTGAATCAAACAGACAAACTGATGCAATTCCAGTGAGCACTATAAATATACTGGAGAGAACACCCAATGTTTTGGAAATGTGACGCTGGAGCGAATATGCCATGATATTGCCGAGAGTATATGTTTCTGTTCTCATTGGAATACCAGTATTGAGGCATGGGAATAGCCAGAGTTTTCATAGACGAAAAGGAATAAAAATTATTAATAATAAAGCATAAGTGTTGTAAGAAATAATATACAGTAAAATTTCAATTGCATCGCATTAAAATTAAATTTCTCAAGATTCTAAATTATCATGAACATGAAATCAATAACAAAGGAATTTAATATTATTAAAATGCCAGAATAATAATTACAACTACACCTGCATACTACAACTACAATTTACAATCTAAAACATTAAACTAACTTCCTAAATTTCAATCAAATTTTTCTTTGCTCTTTGGTTTTGTGCTCTCTCATAGACATAATAAATTACATTTTTACATTTCTTATGTAAAATTGAACATAATGGGGATACTTGGAAACTGCATTATCCATAAACTTCAATAAAACAAAATGATAGTTCATAATATTTAATATCATCACACATTCAAAAATGTGACCAGCTTTGGTTTCGGTCTTACTGAGCTTTTCTTTCCATGTTCATTTATTGTGACATCCTGGTCTTCTAGTAAGAAATGATAAGCATATATAGTATGTTACTTATGGATGGTTTCCATTTCTCTCTTCAGACAGCATGAATCCATTTCTTCAAAATTTTTGGTCAAGAAAAGGGGAATTGCGTAAAGCAGAAATACAATACAAATTGATGAAGTATTTATAGTTGTTGATACAGAGTTGTGATATGGCGTCGCACTATAACGTAACTTCAAATACATTGGGAAAGAGAAATCTTTTACTTGTGAAACTGAATCCCACTTCCTGTTTTCTGGAGTTGTTTGCAACCACATGCAACACAATACTTTACCATTGTATTGCTTGTTAAAAGCAAAATCAGATGCATTTTTGTTTCATTAAGAGATATTTATTAAAATTTCATTGTTACTGGAAAGAAAAAAATAATTCCATGTGGGATAAGCGATTCTGGATGTCATTATTTGAAATAATCTTATAGTGCATCGTGTCATAGAAAGATATTAAACTAACAAGAATCTCCACCTTTTTTCCTCTTCTTGTATGATCTTTCCTATCCTGTCCCATTCCCCATCCTTAGGCCCAAGCAATGTTCTGATCACCCACTCTCGAGTGACCCATCCTCCCTTATGTAGAAAATAAAGTATCTTCTGTCCAAGGCTGTTGTTCTGTCGATAGTCCAGGGCAAAACTGTAAATGCTGAAGAGCCATAAAATAAGAAAAGATTTCCAATTCACTCTAAGAATTTTATAGGTCCTCCCTTGTTGGACATTCCAAATTGTGCCCTTGCCAGAGTGCCCTTTTTTTATGTTGTTATAAGAAATCAAATAGTATTATGTTGACAGATGACATTTTATCCATGTTAAAAATACCTATAATTAGTCTCATTTTAACATTTCATTCAAATACATTCAAGATGCTTTCCAAATGCTTACAGTACATACAACAGCAGAATGAATCCACATTTCGTGTTGCTGGTGCAAAATGGCTATGTGAAGTGAATTCAGTAAGGGAAAATTAACCAAATGGATCTTGTACATTTCCAAAATTTTCATCAAAAGCACTTTCATTCTCCCCAAGCTAGGTTCATTTTCCCTTATTAAGTTCACTTCACATGGCCGTTTTTGAAGTAATCCTCTTGAATACCGTTCTACCTTTAAAAATCAAGATTAATTCGAAAACTTTTTTTTTTTTATGATAATACTAGTCAAAGAATTGTATGAAAGTAGGCATTGTTGGGCCTGTTTTTAAGTCCTTTTTTTAATTCCTTTAAAACAGGTTCCATTGATTTACTGATTGCATGCATTTAAATTAGAGTAAAGTTTAACAGTTCATAAACATAGTTTAGTTAAAATATTCTTGAATGTACTCAATGTTTCGGAGGCTATTGAATCTCCACCATCAGGTGAGAAATAATCACTAAAATAAGATCGGAAACGACACAATAGCCTCCGAAAGGTTGTGTACATTCAAGAATATTTTAAATAAACTGTGTTTATGAACTGTTAAAGTTTACTCCAATTTAAATGCCCGATTGTCTATAAATCAGTGGAACCTGTTTTAAAAGGAAAAAAATATACCGCAGACTATAACATTGTTTAATAAAAAGGTTTTTTACTTTTTTATGAATGTTACAGCAACAACTGCAGAAGATAATATTTCTCCATTTGTGCCTCGTATTGTGGAGTGTTTATCAGTATATTTAGTGAACCAATTACCAGAAGAACTCTCTTGCTTACAAGTTCAAGCCATAGGTATATTTCTGGAATTGATATTTTCTCACGATGGAAGTAATTGTCACCTTTAAATAATACTTTTTCATTTATTACAGACACAATGGCCACTCTGGCTCGTGCTGTATCGCCAGAAAATTTTCAGCAAGTGGCAAGTGATTGCATTCGATACGGCTATATAATTTTAGAAAAAGAATGTGATCCAGAAATGGAAGGCAGCATTTATGGGTTATTTGGAGCAGTTTCTGCTGTTCTTAAAGAAAACATGAAAGATGTGATGGGACCTGTGATTGGAAGTATGCTAAAGACCATTGAGAGTAGTGAAGGAATTGTTGTAAGTGCAACTTTTAATTTGTGTTAGTGACATGTGTTTGATAAAAGAAATTATGCCGGTCTTTCAAAGGATAAACAAATATTGTCTGTATACAAATGAAGCTATACGAAGTCCAAAAATAATGTTTCGAGATAAATCAAGTTGAAATTGGATTTTGTTAAATTTGTCTGTTCAATGACATTTGAAGAGAGGAGATAAACTAATTTTATTTTACATACACTTTAATATATAATATTGGAATAAATAAAAAAAAAGGGTGTGGAGGGGAGTTCAAAGATGGATTTTTCCTGTTCTTTTTCACTGTTCTGTGATTTACTGAAACACAAAATAATCCATAATTTCGTACATTCAAACTTCAGGTTTTCATTTCACTAATGAAAAGAATAGGAAAAATGTGCCGTAGCGATGTGATAAACTTAAAAACCTCAAAAATGGCTAAATGATTTTCACTTGTAAACCTACATGTTCCAAATTAAATTTACCTCTGGAAAATTTAAGATTTCCAGAGGTTTTTCGTGAGTGGACATTTCATTAAGTAATGGAGAAACAGATACCAGATCATTAAATGTAGAAACTGCATACTGTAATGTGGTGCAAAACCAATCTTTTTTAGCACATTTTATCTTCTTGCATGCTACGTATATTTGCAATATATTGTAACACCATTCTCTTGAAATACAAACAAAGGAAAATAGCTATAATTAAAAAAGAAAGGAAGGGAGAAAATCAAATTCATTTCCCTAAATATTGGAGAAAACTGAGCAACGAATGACTTATCAAATGTCAAGACCTGAAGTTTTGATATTTTCTGGAAAAATGAGTTTCTAGTCTGTCAACCAGTTCAAAGTCATGCTTCTCTTTTTAAATTATTATAAGATGAAATGTGACAGTTTGACTGAAGTTTGAACTTACTTGAGGTAGATAAAGTATTTCCTACAATGTATTATAAAATTTCCCTTTATTAGACAATAGAATATAATATGTTTAAATAATTATCTTGAAATATAAAATAATTTCAATACATTTTTAATATTGATGATTACAAAAAATGATTGTTTTTACTTCCTGGCATTTACGTTGTAAGAAGAGAAGGTATTATAATTGTGAAAACAGCAAATTTTCCCCAGAATGGCTCTTATTACCAGGCTCTGGTAATGAAAATATGGTGGATAAATCCTGATCTTTTATATAGTAAATTATTTCCTGTAACACCTTGAGACAGAAGCCGTTCTGTGGGTTATTGATACCGAAAGATCGATTGATGGTAAAATATCCGTCCGTGGTCAATGCTAGCACCTAAACTGTTTCGCCAATTTTCTTCAAAATTGATTTTCCCCGACCGATCTGAACGAACTCTTGAAGCTTTGGGAGATTCAACAGGATATTTTTAGTTTTGATGGTACTTTACATTAAGCCACATAAACATTTTCAAAAGGTTCTAAAAAATTGCTCCAAATTTTTTGATAACTTTCTTCTCGGATAGCGTAAAGGACTCTTTGAGTGAATGGTGCAGGTATTATGTTCGTTAAAATCCCTAATTTTTCGAAAATTGCAAAGGTGCAGTTTTTTGAGGTGGGGGGGGGGAGCTCTTGCTACAACTGCATTATTGAAAATACAAGGGTAATTTCAGAAGTCTATTTTTAACTATTTTTTTAAAAGTCAATGAAGTTGCAGGAAAGAAAAATCAGGATATACGATTGAAAGTTGCACCTATTTCTCTAACTACATTGACCAATCCTGCGAACCAATTTTATTTCATCGTTTCAAAACTACAAGCCTGTGTTTGAAACTTACTATGTTTCTATAGTGTAGAGGTGAGGCTCATGACAAGTTAACTGTGTTCGTTGTTAACTGTGTTTCTTGTTAACTGTCGGAGTACTTGTGTTCGTTGCAGAAAAGTTTTTGCTGTTTGAAAACACTTTTGTAGATTTATGCAGTAGTATAATACAGTGGCACAGTTAGAAATAAGGTGAGAAAGTTTGTGCTGTTGAAGCACCACTAGTTTTATTACTATTTTAAACAGAAATTCTACAATGGTTTTATCGAATCACCTTTTTTTAAAGGAGGATAAGGTGGATCCGTATGGAAGTGAGTGAGTGCAACAAGATATTTCTTATTCAATTTCTTTTAACTTTCTTGTAAAGAGAAATTATTGAAATGGTTTGCCAGAAATCAGAGATTTTTTGGCAAAAGAACCCATTGTGAGGCCGTGGTAATGAAAAAGTGGATAAATGTTGTTCCCATAAGTACTAAATTACTTACTAAATTAATTCGCGTGTGTGTGTGTGTTTTTGTGTGTGACCAATGCTGGCAGCTAAACCATCAAGAGAATTTTCTCCCAAAGATCTGAAAGAACTCAAGGCTGTGCGAATTTGAAATGGATATTTTAATTTCCGGGACTTCACATCGAGCCTCAACAACATTTTCAAAATTTTCTCAAAAATTGCCCCAAATTTTTTTATTAAACTCTGTTCATAGGTGTTGTGAAGGACACTTTAAAAAAAGGCACTGGTCTCATTTTCATTGAACTTTATGAATTTTTGAAAATCGTAAACATTGGAAAGTGTGAAAGTATGTGCTGTTGTAGCACCACGAGTTGTATTAGTAACATTATAAAAGACCTGTTTGGAGACATTATACCATTTGTAATATGCTGAGTTTTAGGCCTTTATTGACATTCTTATTTGATTAAGGAATAATCAAAGTTTTATTGGTTATAGAACAGAATCTGACCAACAAAGTACACACTGTTACTTTGGAGCATATGTAGCAACTCTGATGATTGAGAACTGAATCAAAATGGTGATTTCAATTTTGTAGAAGATAGAGCATAAGATATAGCAGAACTTAGTGAACAAGACTCTAGATTAATGGGAGTATCATAAATGATATAATATGAAATACTTGTATAAAGACTCTTTGCAATCCTCATTGCTGACCTGAACTCATATTACAATGAACACCTTTCCACTGTTATTACAATGGTCTGTTGTTGATGCCTAACTGTAAAGCCTAAAACTGTGTGCTTTAATTTATGTGACTCACCAAAGCATAATTTTTATTCTTGCAATTTTCCTAATATTTTGTGTGTTATTACAGGTTCATTATGATGATGATGATAGTCCAGGTTTTCCTGGGTGTGGAGACTTGAGTGATTCTCCTGATGAAGTGGATTTGGAAGTTACATCAGATGAAGATGAGGATGAGGAAGATATTGCAGGTATGTTTTTTATGACATTAGGTTTGTACCAGGTGTGTACTCTGTCACTATGCACTGTCCGCCTACTGATCGCTCTCATGGAACCTCAACAAAAACTTAATCATAAAGTTAGTTGTAACCGAAGGGATCTCTCTACCAGCACTGATAGTTAACTTGGACCCTCCCAAACAGTTTTAATAAAAACTAAATACCTAATTACTTGCAATTGAATTTACATCCTTACTACATAAATTGATACTATGGCCATTTGACTTGCCATGGGGGTATCTTGAAGAAGAGGTATGCCAGTACAACAAAATTTTCTCTAATAATTGTTATAAGGGGTAACATTCTGGTAAAAGATCAGATTTCCAAACTGATGTAAAGTAACCCACTAAAAGGGAAAAATTGTGAGAAGGAAAGAAGTATGCTATTTAACAAGTCTCGTTAACCTGAACTCCAAAAGACAAAAACGTCAGTGTGCATGTTATAAACATTTATGTAACTCATTTCTGATTATTATAAATATTAATGTTTCCAAGTTACAATGAAATTGACTTTAGGTGACTGTGTGCTAATGACAGTGAAACAAAATTGTCATATTTTCACTTTTTTAACTTGTTTTTCAAGGGAAACTACCCATGCAGTTAGATTGTATTTTTCATGTTATATAATTTGTATTGAAAAGTTAGAATTAAACATTTACATGAAAATTTGTTAACATTCACTGTTAAAGATAACGTATTTTGAAAATTATCTATAGTTCTTGTAAAGAGTAAATCTTGAAAAGAGTAATTATTGTAAAGAGTAGAGTATTTTGAAAATTCTCTGTAAAGAGTAGAGCATTTTCCTTGTTAAGAATAGAGAACAATCAAACTTCAATATCTCTAAGCATCTCTGGAGTGAAAATTGTTTTGAAATGATCAAAAATTCGAGATATCAAAATAAAACTTCTAAAATCCTGAAATGCCTAGTCGCAACAATACTGAGTTCATCTGCAAAAGATTTTTTCTTTCTCACCCTTTTCCCCACATCACAGATTATTAGAAGTTTTTCATTTAAAGTTAATGTTTCAGCACGTTTGTTTGTCTGTCTATCTCTGTGATATGTTGCACTAGCTTTGGACAAATGATACTGCTTCCCATAGAGCTACCAGACGACTATGTCAGAATGCTGAGCCAGCATTGGGAGCAATCCAAAATAGACTTGTCCAGGCATTCAGAGATAGCAAGAGTGCAGAGAGAAGCTGCCAGTGTTCCGTGGAAAATGGTTTGAAGGGTGTGAATATTTAGTCTTGAAAACCAACTTCGTCAGTTTCTTTGAGTTAAAAGTGATTTCTGCACAGGGAAAGACAATATTCTTTTGAGGTCACAAAAGTCTTGCATGTAAAATATATATAACATGTCCAGCAATGGAAAATTTCTTTGACACCAAATGTTCGAGTTGGCAAGTTTTGCCTGTATTTTCAATATTCCTTGTTAAGAATGGAGTATTTATTAAAAATCCTGTTAGGAATGGAGTGTTTTTTCGACATTCCTTGTTAGGAGTGGATAGTGTTTTGACATTCCTTGTTAGGAGTTTTCGACAAATATTCAGAATATGGAGTATTTTGAATATTTGTTATTTGGAATGGAGCATTTTGTTTATTTCTTGTTTGGGATGGAGTATTTTGTTTATTTCTTGTTTGGGATGGAGTATTTTGTTTATTTCTTGTTTGGGATGGAGTATTTTGAATATTTCTCGTTTGGGATGGAGTATTTTGAATATTTCTCTTTTGAGATGGAGTATTTTGTATATTTCTCATTAGGAATAGCATATTTTGAAAAGTCCTAGTTAGGAATGGAGTATGCATTTTCAAAATTTCTTACTAGGAATATATTTTCAACATTTCTAGTTACAAATATAGTACATATTTTCAATATATCTTGTTATGAGTTCTCTGTTGATTGGTTTTGTTTGTAATTGTATAATTTGATTTATCAGTAAATTGTTGGCATTTTTTAGGTTATAGTGTTGAAAATGTTTACTTAGACAAGAAAGCAGCAGCATGTTACGCAGTCAAGGAACTAGCACTAAACACAGGGTATGATTAAATATCATTCAACTTTTGTTAATAAGTAGATACTGAAATTATATATCTAACTCTTTATATGTGTTTCTTTTGTCTAGGGCTGCATTTAATCCATATTTGACACCTTGTTTCTCACCAATTTTGAAATTGCTAGAGTATCCCCATGATACAATTAAGAAAGCAGCTCTCGATGCCTTGACTCAATTGTGCATCAACTGGAGTGCGTCAATGGAATTAGATGGAAAGAGTAAGTTTTGCAATATTTATAATGACTTGATATAATTCTTAGTAGGAATAAAGACATTTCCTTAGAATGAACAGAAAAAAGATAGTGTATATGCCCCTTGTCCACATGCAATTAAGTGTTTTTGTTCCAAGGATTGGAATTGCCAAACTTTGTCATTGGTTTTCTTGGACATGCTGAAGCATTCCAATCTTGCGTTAAGGGCGTCAGCTATTGAAAACAAGACACTAAAAAATTAAAAACAAGTAGGCAAAATTCCGCTACAAAGTAAAAATTGATGGTGGAGGAAAAGCATGAATATATTTAATTGCACTTGTTTAAGGAATTAACAGATAATTTGTATTTAAAGCATCATAATATGAAGTAAAATGAATAAAATTATAACCTAGTTGGCCAAAGGACAAATACATATTTATGTATTAAACTTTCAGGCATTGAAATGTCCATTTTGCAAAAACAAAATGTAATTATCAAACTAAGTTTTACAAATATCAAACGAACATATCGTAATTACCAGCAAGTATCACAATTAACACAATTATCGGAAGAATTTAATGCACAATTTATTGAGGTACATTTCAGAACACAATACAAAACATTGGAATGAAATTAAAACTAAAATACAGTGAAACTCAGGCCATAAAGAATTTAGAAAGTATAAAATGAAATTTAAAAAGTTATAAAATAAAATAGTATAACATAGATAATAACAGTATGCATAAATAAACTGACAAACTAACAATACGCTGTGATTAATACGGGAAGATACCATCGGCCTCGTTCAAAAAGCGAGTTCATCAGGACCCTTTTGAAAACCAAAATGTTGGCACGGTTATGGTCCGTGTAAAATCCAACAGCAGTTTTACATATTTTGCTAACTGCATTGTTCAAAGTGATCATTTTTGTGGAAAAAACACTATGATTTCTAAAATTAAATTGCAGCGCTCTGAAGCTCAAATTATTTAGCAAAAGCAAGTGACCAGTTTTACTATGTAGAAGTTTAAACAAAAAATTTACACCAACATACTCAATACAATTGCAGCATAGGTATCCCCAATTTTGAAGCAATCGTACCATATTCAAGCGTTACAAAAGGATCCTGCACACATGAAGCAGAAGGAAAAAGTCTGAAGAACTTGTGCTGTACTCTTTCAAGCCTAGAAATTTCTTTGCAAAAGCATAGTGACCAAACAACTTAAGTATACTTGAGAATGGGTCTCACTAGCATGAGATACAAAGTATGCAAAATCTCTAGAGAGTTCAGGTCTTGACATGGTTTTCTAATAAATCCAATTGTCGTATTCGTCTCCAAAAACATATTAAAATCAGACCTAACACAAAGATTTCTAATGGTAGTAACTCTTTCCAGACGTAATATGTTGATTACATAATACCCTTTGGTTGACGACCTTGACTGAGATGTGACATTTGCTGTAGTAATGATCTGCATGCTTTTAGTCAAGAAGTGTTCAAACCAATACAATAAAGGCCCACACACCCCAAAGCGCTGAAGTTTTTGCAACAGTATGAAATGATCCATGGAGTTGAGATCTTTACTGAGATCAGTGTAAGTACTGTCAACCTGAAAACCATTGACCCTTACACTGAGAATAAATTGAGTACAATACGCAAGATTAGCTTCAAGCACTTGATGGTAGGCTCTTCTTAAGTGTGTTAATATAACATTTAATATTCATACCGTCCATAAATTCTAATGTTCCTACCCTAGTTGCACTCGGGCAGCCCAAATCATCACACTACTACTACCATTGTCTGAAGGAAGCATATTTTTTCTTCCAGTTCTCAATTCTTTTCTCTCTCCACGCTTTTTTAGCATGTTTTTGAAAAACAATGAATTTACTTTTATCAGTAAATAAAACTTTATTCCAGAGCTCTATTAAACAATTCTTGTAATTGTTTGCATGCTCTACTCTTTTTCTTGTATTTACCAGGAGGCAAAACTGATTTGCCTTCCGTTTACAATATATATTGTACAAGATAATTCATATCTAAAAAAAAAAAAAAAATATTGCGGCCAGTTTCTTTTGGAGAAGTACGTAAGAGAGAATATTAAACTTTTCTCTATGTTCTGTATTTCTCTTGTGCTTTCCATAAGCCCTTTTAACTTTTGATTTCAGTTTCCTTATCTTTTCATTATAGTACTAGAGATATGGGATCTTTTTAAGATACTTCTGTTATATGAAATGCTCTCTTCCCTCAATCACAATATTTTTATAGTTTGTCCAGATTTTCTCCACACTGCTTCCTGTACTACACCATTGTGAGTACTTTGCTCTCAGTTATTCCTGTAAATCCTTTGCATTTACCTGATAATATTGAGGTCTGTCTGGGGAGTACATGACCTTGTAGCTGGTGGTAGAACTTGAGTACCCCCGTGGCCCTGAGAGCTATGCCAGTGGTAGAGTGGCTACTGGTAGGGCCTCCCTTGCCGGACAGGTCAAAACGGAGGGGTCAGACTAAGAAGTACAGCTGAAGTTAAATTGTTAGAAGAACAAAATGGCTTCAGAAAGGGAAGATCCTGCACATACAATCTTTTTGTATTGAACCAAATATTAGAGAAAAGAAGAGTGTTTAATTTAGACACACACATTGCATTCATTGATTTTCAAAAAGCCCTCATTAACTCACTAAGAGTGTTAAGCATTTCTGAATTTTCATTTGGAGACCAGTATGCATATTTTATTTCCAATGTTCTATTAAAGTGTTTACATTTGATTTGCGAACGCTTACCATCTCAAATTCCGCAACTTTCCAGGCCTCTTCTGCTTTTAAATTAGTTACAAATAAACTCTCTCCCCC